GGGATCCACCTCAGGAACTAATTTAGTTAATGGCTCATTTTAGAAACGAGCTTCCGAGTTCCGTTTAATTTGCTTGGTTATCGTTCCTGTACTGATAGTCAGCGGAATTGTAAGTGCGCTTGATATACTTCTTTTCCTTAGTCGCGATATTTTCTTTTATTAATGGAATTCATCTCAATTGCGAAATTAACAGCTGCTGATTTGAGATTTTCTTTATTAACAATTCAGAGCTGGAATGACGTGCAAGCAGATTCAACTCTGTTGATGGGATTGTAAATTTAATATTACACGTTTACGAGTCGTTGCTATTCGTGAACGTTATTAATGAACTTGCATAATTTGTAATAATAAATTATACAATACTCTGATTTTAATATTTGATTGTTGTGTGTCGACATAACGACGTTCGGATCGGCAACGGTTTGTTACGAATTTGTTAAATTTTTTAAGGAATTAACTTTTCATTCAAATAATAAATGTAAGGCGTACACTTTGTTGCTTTTCTCAGCATTTTTAGACTCGTATTGAAATGTAGCGTATCTTGCATTAAAGACATATTCTTCTTTTCTTTTTGGCTCAATTAAGTTGAAAATATTTAAAACAGTGATACACTACGTAATTACTGTATGTTGATGCGTATCTCCTACGTTTTATTGGACTCCAGGTTAATCCACTTTTTCGGTTTTTACAATGAAATTGAATTTACAATTTTTTCTCGGCGAGTGCTACTTGAATGTTAAATTCGTCAGCCATTCGTCTTATCCAAGGGTCAATGACATTGCAACGACATTACACTTAATTATTTACTCGCCTTTCTCGCGCGAAACGAGCAAAAACAATGGCAGAGTAGCAATTTCTATTCAAATTAGCCACTCAATATATGCCAACCTCGAGCAACATTCCGATGAGTGATCGCTGCTGCAACATAGTCCAGCATATGTTTATTCTCTTATCTCTTATCTCTTCGCTTACCGTTATACTCGTGCCTGCAAATTATTTGATCTTGCATGCATTCGTACGCATATTGCTATGTACGATCTTGGTATAAATTGCATTCTACTTAGAGCGATGGAATTCGATTGTTTGCACGAAGAAAAGCAGATTGGTGCTTGGTTCGTTGTTCGGAATAAGCGATTGAGCCAGTGACGAAATTGAACGCGAGGAAATCTCGCGTTACGCTGAGCTATTGAGCGCTCGCGTTACAAATCGAGCGAGTTCTGCGGTGGACACGGAGTACGCGTTAACGGGCAATGTACGCCCTCGCGGCCATGAATCCGAAAGTTCGGATATTAGCGAGTATTAACGAGATAGCAGCGGCGCAGGGCTGCAGGAATAACTCGTATAAAAGCGAAATACTTCGCGCTAAGCTTCTCTCTCCCGTACTTGAGACTTGCTAATACAGCGAGATTTACGCTTGGGAGCTCAGTGTACACCCAGTTTAACCGCTATTCTCACACACATATCATCGTTTCTCATTTGTTCCTTTGAGAAAGTTTTTGTTGCTCACGGCGTCTATTCGTAATTGCGTTAGCTGCACTCAACGACTAGTTTGCCGCAAGCGTTAATGCGAGTTTGAGAAATTCATGATTCGTCGAGAACACCGCGTCAGCGTACACTTTCTCGGCCTATTCGTTTCACGCCACTCTAAACGAGATTTAAAAAATTCCATTAGCGACTTTCGAAATTTTGCAGATCCGTCGAAACGCGAAACTATTGGATTTCACCTTTGTGTTCATTTTCCAGTTCGAGCGCGCCAATTTAAAATGAAAAATGGCGTGGAAGCACACGACCGATATCATCGAATAGACTGCCGTTCTGGCAGAACTTATTGCAACTAGATTGCAGATTGAATTTTCTTTCTAACTGCTGTCGTAGCTCACGTCTGTGCTAGAGCGACACGCCAAGTAGAGTTTAATCATTCTTCTTTTTCGCTAGTTCGCCGAAACTTGCGCTCCAGACATGAGAATAAAAACATAACCAATAACTCGACGACAAGCCTGCTTGGTTGTCGTGTACACGCGAGTGCAAGTGTCTGTTGCGCGCAGCATGGCCGAACGTCAGACGCACAAAGTGTTTTCGTTGTAATACACGCCGTTGACGGCTTCCACGCTAAACGTGGCTGCCGACCGCGAGCAAACAACGCTAAATTGGCGCGACTAGTCGAACAAACGATCCCAGCAATTTATGCGCGCAACACGTGCGCGACAGTATCAAAAGCGAGGTATCTCTTATGCCCCCCTCTCTCTCTCTCACTCTCTATCAACGTTTACACTCGACATTGAAGAGGGTCTGCATACCGTGCGGTAATGCGATAAAGCGGCGCCCAATCCTCGCCCTTGGATTAGTCTCGTCCAAGCCGTTGTGTTCAGCCGTCGTTAACAGAATTCCAGCAACAGATCCTCTATTCCTCGTGCAAACCAGCAGTAGCTTTCTCAATGCAAACGTCCCAACGAGCGCGTAAGTTAATTTTTAGCGTTATGAGCGCTTCACACGACCAAACCGTGCAACTTTCTTATGAAAATTATTCAATCGCGACCTGTGCTGGCGATTAGTTTGCTTCGGGCTAACGCGGCGTAATTATTGTTGCACTAGGATCTTAGAAATCAATTACTGAGATAGAGCTAATGTTAAGCAGTTTGAAAATCCATCATTTTCCTTTCATTTTCTTTTCATTTTATTTTTCTTACTATTTTTATAATAAATATTTTTGAATGAGACATCGAACGCATTGTCGGATTGATCCGAAATACTACAATGCAATATAGGATAGGAATTTTTCATTTTGCCAGTTCCATGATTGGAAACAATCTTTTGATTAATTAAGTTAAAAATATTTGAAACAGTGATACTCTACGCAACTATTACATATTGAATTTTTTTTACGTTTTATTGGATTCCACGTCATCCACTCTTTCAGATTTTACATCGTAATTGAATTTCGGATTACTTTTCACATTCGCCAAATGATAAATAAATAAAAAGCTTAAACACAAGGCATTTCAACAATTGTATTCCTTAGAACGTGATGATAATTTAACATTTTGAAAAGAGAAAAAGAGTACATAAAAGACATTGCAAATACTGCGGTGGCTGAAAGCTGAGCAGAGCAACGAGCCCTGAAGCGTACCCGCGAAACAGACGATGAGAATTGGATGGATGTATATAAGTCGCAAAGACGAGCTGGAACACACAGCAGTAAGCAAGCCCGAACATCGATATGACGAGTGATTGAATTCAATTTTCGTCCGGCTAATCGCTGCTCGTGACAGCTGCCGCGTCCTGGCTTGCACTCGCGGCCGATTATCAATTTCACGACTGAAATTGCCGTAGCTCGCATTCTATTGCCGTGGCCGCGTGGCAGCCGAATGAAAGTGAAAATGAGGATGGTGCTTGGGCATCGCGGAGTAAGCTCCACGTATGCGCTGTTAATCGCTTTACGAGGTCGCGCTCGGCCTTTTGCCGATCGTATACTGCCTTTGATCTCGTCACTTGGGGATTCTCTCCAAGGTGGAAAAAGAAAATTAGTCTCTCTCTCTCTCTCTTTCTTTTTCTCCGTGATGGATTTTTTTCTTGTCGCAAAGAATTTTCGATTAGTTTAGCGAGGGAAAAAAGTAAGTGAGCTCTTTATGGCAGCGTAGATCAAACGCGGCTTTCCCATGGAGATATAAAAGTCCGTCGGCTGTCTTTAATCTTCTTATCCGTTTATGTGTATATATATATAAAATAAGCATGAACATCAAATCTCAGACCGATTGGAAAAGAAAATACACGAGCCCAAGCGCGACATCGAAGATACTCAAAAGTTATTACTCGGTTACGTGAGGCTATGCACATTGATTGGTTTATTATTTCTTATGGAATACATCACAACGAGATTTGCGTGTATCTTCTTTCTATGCGTAATTAAATTGGATTTCATGGAATAATCAAACGGGATGATTTTTGGATACAAATGTAAAAATGCTGTAAAGCTGAAGAAATGATTACCGTCATTTCCATTACAAGGCCAATAAAAATATAAAAATTTTCAATTTCAGCTATGACCCGACGGAGAAAACAAAAAGTTTAGCCGCGGAGAGATCCCAGGGAAACGCCGCGCGGCTCAAGTCGATAAAATAAAGTACTGGCGCGCGATATGCGCATAAATTTCTTGTCCATGGAATCTTAACTGGGCAATAGACGTTCGTATCCGCAGTGTCGTTATTTTTTACGTAAAAAAAGAAAAAAAAATATGGCTACGCACGAAACCATGACAGAAGAAATACAGACAAATAGGAGCAGAGCGTCACTGTCTGCCGAGTAAAGATCATCGGTGCCGGACAAAACGTCATACAAGTCAAACGAGAAAGATTCCTTGTTTTCTATGGCCATTTATATAATCACGTAAATCCTCTACCTCGAACGCATCGAAACTTTTCTCGAAATTGCCCTTACCGCTAATTAATGTGTACGGCATCGTTAACGAATTGCTCCTTTCACTTTTGCGCATGCCACTGGAATTTACCTTCGTTCGCGGTAAAATTTTTATTGCTTTTGTGAATAAACTTACTAATTGATATCCACGAGAAAGTCTTGACGTGTTTTTATTTGTCGTCGATTTTTATGATCGTCACCGGAACTCACTTTTCCAGCGACTAGAATTTCTGTGAAAGCTTTTCCTAAGTTTTATCCTCGGTAACAATTTCCACAATACATAGGACAATTTAATTAAAGAATTTGTTCCTTTTCGTTATTGGAACGATAACCATTGTACAGTAAAACTATTCGTGTGATATTCCCCACGCTCCCTGACATATCCACGCGATCATCAAGTTTATGCGCGTGGGAGCAAAAAAGAACCACTAAAACTAAGAGAACACCAATACATCATTCAAGCGAAAAGAATGAAAAGAAGAAAAAGGGAAATAGAAGTGATAGTCCGGAACACATCCATGACGAGGCTGGAATTCGCAAATTGTTTCAAGCATTTTATTAATGTACGCGAATTTTGTGATTTACAGTACGATGCAGTGATACCAGGCGAGTTTGGCGGCGGCGGTGAATATCCCGTGCAGGATGGCTTTGGTTGGTCGAATGGAGTGGTGCTTGAGTTCCTTCATACTTACCCTTGGGCTGAGTACAGAGACGAGAACAATCAACTGATGCGAGGTGAGTAGTACGAACTGAGTTGTACCAGGCACGATGATTATCAGTTCGACACCAGTGACACAAGCCCACTGGATACGTATTGCAACATTTGATCCAGTTTGCTTTTTAAGCGCTCACCTGAAAGCTTTCCTTGGTCTCTCTCTCTCTCTCTCTCTCTCTCTCTCTCTCTCTCTCTCTCTCTTACCTATTTTATCGGGTAGCTCGATTGCAAAGACCTTTGAACGAGGGCTTCGAAAAATATGGAGGATTTGCATAAGCGCCACGTGCACGCGCGTCTCACAAATTGTTCGCACGACAATCCTCTTTGGCTCGACGTTGCAAATAATTCCTTCGGCAAATAGCCTGGATTTGCAAGGCGCGCACGCCTTTCCCTTTGTACACCGCAGCGTGCGCCTTTAGCCAAAGCGAGTTTTACGGCGAGCGCGAGGATTCTTTGCCCGGAGTGTTTGAGTTTTGATGAAAATGACGTTGCAACCGGCCGGCAACTTTTTTAATTATACGCATACGCAGCAAACATTCTCCTTCGCAGCAAAGCAACTCCTTTGTAAAATTCCACGTAACGTTTGTTGATTCTAAGCAAACAAACGAATGCTTCAACTAAACCTACGCGCTAATTAAGCCGAAAACGCTTAGACGCTCGTACGTCAGATACGAAAAGCAGTCAACAATATTCGATTGGAAATTGTACGCGTGATACATACGCACAGTGATTTCAGGCGAGTATAGCCTACGGTCGATTCTACAATTCGAATATTTGAGAGCCATCAATAACATAATTGCGATATTTACATATAAATGTATAATATCGGCTTCTCGATGAATCCAGCGATAGAAAAGACTGCCCGATCCTCGTCCGCTTCTGCTGCCACTGCTGACGCGGATCTTCTAAATAAATCTCTATATCTCCCTTCAAACTCGCTCCACTTAAAGACGAAAAGTAATGGATTTTTCTGCTCTCTTTCGAGGCGAACTTCGCCGAATTTATGCTTTTACGTTTGTCTCGTTACTTGTCAATATGTCACGCCTTTGCTTTTGTTATCTTCGTTCGCGACTGAGTAAAGTTATAACCCAGGTTTTTTTCCGTTTATGCAAATATTTAAGTTGCAGTTGTCTGTCGAACGAAAATCAATGCAGTCGAGCTCTCATGAATTGATAAGAGCGCTACGCGATCTCAAACCATATGAAAAGTAGCGATGTACGCGCGTGAACAATAAATGATCGAACAGACAGTTTATTTTTGCCTATTCTAATCTGTTCTCAGATCCATATGGAATCAATTATATTGATAAAGATTATTCGTATTACGAATAGCCCAGCTGAGTGCGTCACTTTGGAGAGTCTTATAAAGAACGTCAGATGATGAAGATAACAAGGTGCACTTTTATTTAATACTTTATTTACGTTGCTAAAAAATTATAGCTACTTCAAGTTGACAGAAACAAACAGTACTTATTAATCTTCACTTAAGGGTGATTATAGCTGTAATTAAATTACTTATCTATAAATAAAAATATCAATTGATGTTATCATGTAAATGCGGGCTCCGTTGTACAATGTAAAACAGCAAAAAAAAACGAACGATCATTGTTATCACTGACGTTCTCCATTATCGTATCCTAATTGGAAAAAGTCCTTCAATACGACGTTGAATGTAACATTAACAAATCCTTGCACCTTCATCCGCGTCACTGTAAAAAGAGACGTCCAAACGAAATGAGAAATGCTGTGAATTGAAGTCATTATTCAAGCATATTTCAATATTATACGATGTACTTAATTATGAAATATAATGAAATTCTGTACTTTAAATACATCATTTATTTAATTAATGCTCTTATTTCTCCATTATAATTATATACAATGTAAATGAAAGTACATAATATTTCTCGTACATCACGCTGTCAAAAGATGTCATGTACATGGTATTACACATAACATATTTTGTAACATAAAATTGAAATTTTAAATATAACGCATGTCATGGAGTCGAAATCCCGATAAACAAAATCAAAAGTAAATTTTTAACGGTTGACCTAGATATTGTTTGTCGATGATGAATTAAAAGCCAGCTCTTGATCAACATAGACCATTTCACTCGACAAACCTTGGATATTGCATTTGAGAAATTCCCGACAGAGCAATGAATGGAAAAGTAAAAGCTGGGAACAAATAAACGACTGAATATTTCATCAGATATTTAGTTGGAACAAAGTAAAGCAAATAAAAGAAGAAAAAAATTTTGCCGTCGACAAAGTAGAGGGAAACAAAAAGGGAAAGAAAAAAAAATGGAAAATAGAAAAGTAAGTCCAGCTAGCAACTCACATTCCCTTCCATCGCCAGTCGCGAGGATGCCAATGTCGATGAGTTCAGGTCTGCGTCCGGTCAGCCAGGCGGCGAATTGTTGCATCAATGAGGACGACTCCGGCACGTACAAAGCAATCCTGCTGTGCATCAAAACATTGAAGGGACAGAAAAAATTGAACAAAAAATAAAGGCAACGGAAATCAGTCCTTGCGCGATTTGCTTCCCGACAAGCGGCAATTGATCGAGTGATGTTTCATTCTCGGCTTTATTTATTTTTCCGAACGGCTGACCATGGGATTACGACGTTGCCGAGTAGTTTATTTGACGACAATTGCACGTGCTCGCTTGTTACGAATAACGAGTAAATAAAGCTGTTCTGTGCGTGCTTCTTCTACATATTTATCTATTCTTGTCGCAATTGATAACCAACAATAATTATTTCGATAACGTACAATGGAGTTTACATTTACATCATCGTTTCCTCTTCATAAATTTCACCCGCGTTTAGTTATTTTTGATTTTCGAATAAATTCATTTGTCAACAAAGCCTCAGCTTTTATTTGTTAATGAGGTTCTTCGCGTGTTTACGGTGACATTATATTACTCCTTTCAACGTTACGCTTAGAAAAATATCGGCATGAAAAATATATCAAGATAGTAGAGGAATACATATTCTACTCTAAAATAACGTGTAAAAAAATGTAGCCAACTTCCTTACCATACGTTGTCTGGCGACTTTTATTAGCTCGCTGATATAAGGTTTCTCGATGTAGTAATATCAAATGTATCTGGGATTAATGATGTTACGAATACCAAATTAAATGTAATTCGATCACTAAATATTAGACTCGATTGAAAACAAGAGTTTGAGACAAGATTTTCAATTCACGCGGTGAACGTTTAAGGTGCGCTTTATCAACGATATAATTGTTCTATCCAAACAAGTTTTCAGCTGTGTGCCGAATCACCCAATTGAATAATTGCTTGCAACTTGTATAATCATCGATTATTCGGAGTCGCAGCAATTCCAGCGTGTTTATTACTCAACTCTGCGAATTAATTAATACGTTTCCATAAATTCCGTTAAATGTATTAAGCGTTAAATCAACCTTCGCTTCCGACGCTGCTAAATATAACAACGGAGCTACTCTCTCGCGAAAATGCTCACTTGCGCAAACATTTGCCTGAATTTATGTAAAACTTTGATAAGTCGCAAGCACACGTAAATATGCCCGAGTGAAGATTCATAAAGTATCGAGCACGATTTCAGAAGAGCTGCGTCATTTGAATATGTCAAATTCAGTCAATATTGAAATGAAGAAATTTGAAATGCGCCTTCCGCTTTTACGTAGGCGGCCAAAACTTGTACTGTGGTCTGAGGAGTGCGTTTACGGCTTTGCCACGCAGAATAGCCGCATAATAATTAAAATACGCGCGAGACGGGTAATTAAGTTGGCACTGTAGATTATGAGACAGCGAATAAAACAGTGAGAGCGGTCGAGAGATATGAAGTGATAAGTGAAATTGCATTATACTTAGTTACGGCACGTAAAGCCCTTGGGATAGTTAGAATAGGCGAGCGAGAGTCTTAAAAGACCTCGCCCAAGTCGCAAGTCTCATGATAATCAAGTTGAGCATTAAGGCAAAGCTCGAGCAGAGTGCATCAAGCTAAATTGGATGTATCGGTGTGAGCGCGCGTGCGTGTGTGGATGCTGCAGATGGTCTAGTGCTGTCTCACCGCTTCTCATGCCTGCCGGTAATTAAGGGCAGTCGACAGGCGCCGTAGCCCCTGATCACGTCGTGACCGAAGCCGTCCAGTCCGTAAATTGAAAGCAGCAACTGCGGCCCTGTAATAAGCCTCCATCTTCTTCACTGCACCCCCCCTCCTTCTTCTCGCTCTCTCTCTCTCTCTCTCTCTCTCTCTTGCTCTTCTTCTCGCTACGCAATCACAGTCGACTCATACATAGACCACTAATCATAGTCCACGAGCTCGAGGCAGCTGAAAGCCAGTGCGCCGACGAATGTTGCTCTTTTGGATTTGTAGGCACTAAGCGATAAGGCGCCACTTACCTGCCAGTTTATAACCCGGCTTTCTAACGGATTGCGCGCTCTTGCGATGAGCTTTGCGCGGAAGAGCAGGCAAGCAAACGTGAGCTCGCGCATTCCCCTGATACTTTGACAACTTTATATTATAAGATGTTCAAGGCGAGAACTTGTAGCTTCTTCCCCCAGATATGCTCTCTCCGTTTCTCATTCGCGCTCGCCACATTTCAGAGTGCGATGAAAAACCAACGCGCAATCTCTTTGGCATCTACCTTCGCTAATTAAAATGCGCAGCGAGCTGTCTAAAAGCCAATCTTTTCCAATGCTGCCTGATGGCAGTCATTAAGATAACAGGCTGATGGAGGCTTTTTCATCCAAATGTATGTTAATCAAGGAATAGAGGCGTTTAGACGATTAATTACCGCGCGACGAAGACGATAGGACTATGTATCGCCACGTCAAAGTGTCAGCGGAAAAGCAAAAAAATAGAAAGGGAAAAAAGTTGTCAGGAAGTTCTGGGGTGAACTACATTGAAAAGTCTCTAAGTCTCGTGGAAATTCCGAGTTAGCATATTTTTCTCTCGTTTTTCTTCCGCTCGGTCGGTTCTCTTGCGAACAACCTTAGCCATCGTTTTAATAATTCAAAAGGCTCTCAAGGACCTTCAAAAGCTGAGTCTTGACTAGCAACAATTTGTACTTTGGAAGCATCACAGGGCTGCGCTCGGGCAAATAACAAGTTAAAGGCACGAAAAATTATCTGCGCGAGTTGGCAAGATAATAGCATCCAATTTGCGGGCCGTAACGTCGACAGGGCTCGCACAAGCTAACCAGCCGGCTATGGCAAAAGTACATTTCAATAAGCGTCAGAGGCAACAAAAGCCATCACGCGGTGGAAATGCACTTTACGAGTAGCTCCTTTAGTTCCACGGGCCTAACGAGCGAACGTTGTCGACAACAACCACCAACTCTTTTCCATTATCAGGTCTAGAATTCAATTGGAATTTCCATGGTGATCAAACGCAAACACGGCGCGCCGGCATGAAAAGAAAAGAGCAAGGACCTAAGATTGAGCTCGCCCGATCCTTTTGACGGTCCCGAGTAAACAAGAGAAAGAGAGAGAGAGAGAGAGCTGAGAGAGAGAGAGAGAGATAACGAGAAAGCTTACAGCCGTGTGGATTAGTGCTCTTGAAGGCCACGTCGAGCGGGAAGTTCCAAACAGCTAGCCGGCGGGCGTCGTTGCTGCACTTGCTCATCTGCGTGAGACCCTCCTCGATGCCCTTCGATGGTGACAAATTAATTCTATTAAAACTCTCCGTTACACGCGTTTGCTAGGGCTACGTGTGCCCACGCGGCGTCGTGCTCCGTTCGATCGATAATTAAGCCACAGCGTGCTCTATCCGTTTTCCGATCAACTCGAGACTCGAGAACTAAGTACTTGTCGGCAACAGATGGGTTGGAGATTATCGGGCAAGTCGGTCGAGCAGCTTATAGTGAAAGCCCATAAGGGAATACGCGCATGCAGTTTTCCCAAGCTGATTAATGCACCGCTAACGCGGTATCGCGACCGAGAGAATACACGAGCGCTCGATTCCTAACTCCACCACTAAAGAGCAAACGATGACCGAATAGAGCCGCAAATGAACAAGGTAAAAAGCTTATGGATATGTGTGCATATATATATGTATATACATACCGCGATGAGGCTCCACTCCGGACCAAACTGGTAGGCGTACTTGCAGTAGGCGTTGCTGATGTCGTAAAAGTCAGCCGACTCGATGGAGCCACTAATGCTCAGGAAGAAATCACCAGCCTCACCGCCAGACATCCTCGTGTACGCAGCACTCTCTCGACTGGATCGGCTTATGCACTATCCTACGTTCGTTGGCGGTGGTGCCGCTTTGCGTCGTCATGACAACTTGGCACGTGTAAACTGGCAAACACGCGCGCACATCTGCCGCTGTTCGCTCTTTGCCCGATGAAGATTGTTTGATGTCTGTCTGTCTGTCTGGCTGGCTGGCTGTCTCTCTGTATCTCACTCCGTCTTCCTTTTCCTCTTCTTTTTCCTCCCACTTCCAGAAGGGAAACATATACGCGTGTCTTATTCTTATCCTCCGCGAGAGGGCTTTGTTTGTTCTCATCTCGTTCCCCCGTGTTTCCCTAATTGCGAACCGAATGACGGCGCTCGAGCAACTTGTTTGCTTCGATATCATCGTATACGCACGCCTGCATGCTTCATTGCTAATTTAATGGAGCACTAGCACGCGCGCGTGCGTTGCGCTAAAAGGGAGTCTCGTATCTGGCTAAGTGGATATTAACTCGGATAGAGTTCCTGTCATTGTTTCGTGGCCATCACTCTCGCGTAGCCAATTTGATCAACGGATTTCAACCAGACTAGCTCGTTTGGTTGTGACGAACCGTTTGCAATTATGCCAACTCTCAGTCTGCATTTCATGTAAAATTTACTTATCCTCGACTTGTATTTCGTTGTCGACTATGAACTTTTTAAAGTGGAACGAATCATCAAAAATAAAATGACGTATATTTTTTATTTTACAGGCTTTTTTTTGGGTTTTGCGGGTCTACTATAATTTACGGTTCATCGATAGAAAACTGCAGTAAATTTCTTCCGCTTTTTACAAATAATTATTGGATAAAATTGAACTGTTCACAAGTTAGACTGAAACAAAATTTCATCAAGTATTAAACCGATTTCCTTTATAAAACCTTACTATGAATTTTATTAAAAAATATTACATAACATTTGAATAGTTCAACCTTTGCGAATATATTGTTTTTCATAAGAAAGGCTTAATCTTAGTTTTCTATCGGTCATCTTTGAATTACTGTAGACCCATTTTTCAGAAGTTATTTAGAATTACAGGGAGATACATTTTTCAATATATTTTAGACGTAAGTCGTGTAAGTCTCTAAAACTAGCCTAAAAGTAAACAATTGAAAAACACTTATATTTTTACGTTATATAAAGCATATAATGTGTATAGATCACTTGCACGTCACAAGCATAACAACAAAATCTCCGTCGCTTAGCAGAGCGTTCATGCGACACACATTGCTTTTCGATTACTTAAATTATCTGAGAAGCTCTAAAAGAATCGCAGGCTTATTTTGATAAGTGAACAAGGTCTATCAGCTTTCATCACGTTCCCTTTTCCCAGCTGTTTGCTCATACTCAAGCACCATGGGCTTAATTGAAATGATTCTACATTATTCTTATAGAGCACGAACGGACCTTTGAGTACAAATATTTAATCCATCTCGTTATTAATCTTGAGATATGTGCTTATGGGAATGGGGCAAATAATTGTTAAGAAACGAAATTAAACTACGTGAACCTGCGCGTGCGCTGTGAATCATGATGTACATTAATATACCGTGAATATTCCTTTTTTCTTTCTAGTATGTATTCTATTTTTTTACGTAATTAATCATTTTTATAACCTCTTTTGTACCAATTTCATCCGAAATCAAGCTTCTCTGGCTTTTCTTTGAGTGTCTCTGCTTTATACTATTTTGACGCAACAAACTACATAGCTACCTAACAGTGGTTACTATTGGGTCCAAAAGCACTCTCCCCAGGGTAAAAATAACGGTAAATAACATTTATTTCAAGCTGCAAGTCACGCGTAAAATGTACTTTAGAGTCTAACATATATATGTTTCTTGGCTTTCTCGTCCGTTAACATGCTAAAACAAATGTATGAGAATAAAGAGGTAAGTAACAACGTGACACTGATATATATGTGTTTTTCATTGAATATTTTATTTTTATAATTCATTTTCGCAAAGAATGACGATGATTCGATCGTTCGATACAATGGAGCCATTCGCGCGCTCGCACGCACAACTGCCCCAACGATGGAGCAGAAGCGCCAGTTGTTATTCCGAAGATGTAAACTTTTGCGTGTAAGTAAAAATCAAAAGGATACAAGCTCGAGCGGGACCAATTACAAAAAAAAAGAACAACAAAGATACTAGCATGGTCCCGTACGATGAATTTATTCGTAAGTCACAATTAATCAGTAACGTTCCATTTGTTTTTCATAAATATATTTATACATCATTGAGTAGCGAAGGGCATGGGAGTAGCGAAAAAAGCGGCTTCGATATTTAATCGACGCATCCGGCCTGGGGCGTACACGATTCTTCACTTTGAGACCGGATAAACGTGCGAAAAACATCGATAATAACAAACTTTTTTCCATCGATTCCATTATCCGTTAACGTTCGTTAAATTCCTCAGAAAATATTGAAAAACGTTTTTTCCTTCTCTCACTCTCTCTCTTGGTCTCTTTCTCTCTCTCTTTCTCTCTGATTGCTTGAAACAACTGGTGCTACTCTACACACCTTTGTCGTGCTTTATTAATTTTTATTTATTATTTATTTTTGCTTGCATATTTTTTTGATACTTTGTAATTTGTAAAATCGTAGCATTTCGAACGCAATACTACGGATTCACTCAAAGCTGCATTCCCTCCATTAAAAAGTCTCAAGAAATAATGCTGAACGTACATTTGGAAATATTTGGCTTATCAATTCGCGTTTACAAACGTGTCAACGGAAATAATGATTGCACCTTTGCGTACGATCGCCTAGTAATAAAAAGCGAGAATACATCTTCGTAAATGTTAAAGTTGCATTGCTACGTTACATTATGACTTCTCGTGTATATCGCTATTATATCATATATAATATGTATACATATATATAATTGAATCAGTTTTAACCAGTTATGCACCTTCGACAGTCGCGGTTAGCATTCTCTCTCCTCCGTCGTATGAGAAGTGTATCGAATGACAAAAGCAGTATAGAGCACGAGAACGGAAAGGAAAGAGGATGCTCGCGAGCGCTAGATAGCGTGCTTCGTCTAATTTTAACCGGCCTACGCGTAACTAGCTGTGAAAACATATTCGTTGGCGGTTCGGATCTGCATCCAAAGATCTTCACTTGCCAGCGGCGATCTCCTTCATTCGGTTGAGCGCTGAGCCCGCCTTGAACCATTCTATTTGTTGCTCGTTCATCGTGTGGTTCAACATGATCGAATCGACCTTGCCGTCCTTGTGTTTGATCTCACATTTCACCGGCTAAACAACAAATAACAAAGGACAAGAAAAAATTAACAAGAAAAAAAATTGACCATTAATGTTTTTCCAATTTTACGTAGAATGCACATCTTGAACATTATTATATGTTATATGCATTTCCATATGTTATTGATTCTTTCTTTTATTTGTACGAAATCAACATTTATTTGTACGAAACTTTCATTTATTTGTACGAAACAACCAATTTAAATGGCGCGATCTTAAAAACAATAACCTTGTCCCCTAAGAAACGGGTGAAATTTGTATAAACGTGTAAAATAAGTCAAACGACATAATAGCGTGGATGAATCTCATATAAATCGACAAAGCCGGTAAACGGTAATAGGCTTTCGTAAAACTTAAAAGTTATTTGAAATATCTCATCAGAAAAACTAATATCTTCGATAACGGGTATCTCAATATCAAACAATCGACCACTCCAATCAGCCACGATCCAATATACGGAGTGATCGCGAATTTTGTCATAAAATAGAAAAAATAGCGATGACCTCGATAAAGAAAAAAGATGCGATAAAAATTCAATGTACAATCGTGTTCAGGATAAGCAGTACATACCTTTCCAGGGGCAAGATCTTTCAAGCCAAGGAGGCTGATTTTGTCGGTTGGTTGAATCTTGTCATAGTCAGAGGCGTTAGCGAAAGTAAGTGGAAGGAGGCCCTGTTTCTTCAGATTGGTTTCGTGGATACGAGCAAAGCTCTTAGTAATGATGGCACGGCCACCCAAATGACGTGGCTCAAGAGCGGCATGCTCGCGAGATGAGCCTTCACCGTAGTTTTCATCACCGACGGCACACCACCTCACGTTGTTCTTCTTGTAGTGGCGCGCAACGTCTGGTACTCCACCCCATTCGCCGGTCAGCTGATTCTTAATCTTGTTCATTTCACTGTTCTCGGCGTTTGTGGCACTGGAGATAACAAGAAATAAGATATTTATTTCATACAAGATTGAAAATTAAAACGCACGAAAAGTAAAATGTTTATTTACCCAATGAACATATTGTTTGAGATATTATCCAAATGTCCACGATATTTAAGCCAAGGGCCAGCGGCAGAGATGTGATCAGTTGTGCATTTTCCTTTGACTTTGATGAGAACAGTCATATCGATAAGGTCTTTGCCGTCCCATTTGTCGAAGGGCTCGAGAAGCTGCAGACGTTGGGATTTTGGATCAACGTCAACTTTGACTTTGCTTCCGTCAGGTGGCGGTGAGTCGTAGGTATCCATGCCAGGATCAAATCCTTTAGATGGCAAGCCGTCGCCTAAAAAGAAAAGCGTGAAAAATTGAAATTATTTTTTAGTAATAGTGACGAGTACAATTTATACAGTAATATTACTGACCATAGGGGTTGTCCAAGAGGAATTCTTTGCCATCGGCGCCTTTAAGTTTGTCAGTCAGAGGATTGAAGTCGAGTCTACCAGCGATCGAAAGAGCGGTAACGAGTTCAGGGCTGGTAACGAAAGCATGAGTGGCAGGATTAGCATCGTTACGCCCAGTGAAATTACGGTTGTACGACGTGACAATGGTGTTCTTATCTCCCTTCTTGATATCTTGTCTGTCCCATTGACCGATACATGGACCGCAGGCATTGGCAAGCACGGTACCACCAAACTCCCGAAGGGTTTGCGCCTAAATATGATTAATTGTATGTTTATGAATTTGTGAAATTGTTTTTTGTTTATATATTGACCGACAAATGAATTGTACCAAAAAATTAAATACAATCACTTGTTGGCAAATTCTGCTCATGTAGTATTATATAAAATTATATAAACAAAGTGCTATTTTCATGATTACTTTTCTATTCTACCTGATTTTCGCTATATTCAAAATAACTATTTATAACACATGATTTATTAACAGTATTTTTATGAACCTGTAATAAGTACGCAAATAGAACGTGAATTCTAAAATTGCCTAATGTAACTTGAACAATTTGGTGTTAATATTGTTTAGATAAAGTAACGAAGTATTTCGTTCTGCATTAAGATTGTCTAATTCCAAGCAATAGGTGACAAAATAACACCATCTATTTTTAGATGATCGTTAACGTAAATAACGTATACTTACGATTCCGTCACGTTCGATGGTAGCACGGACTTGCTCAGAACCGGGGGTGACGTTAAAAGCAGATTTAGCCTTAAGACCATGTTTCATGGCCTGCTTAGCAATGTTCGCACATCTGCCCATATCCTCGTACGAGCTGTTTGTGCAGGAACCAATCAGACCAACTTTTACTTCATTTGGCCAACCGTTCTTTTTAGCGTTAGCTCCTGTTTGACAAGTCCGTAATATTAGTTATAATGCCTCTACAAATTATAGGTCATTTTAAGAAAATGTATTATATAACATACCTAATTGCGAGATTGGGTTTGCAAGATCGGGGGTGAAGGGTCCGTTGACGTGAGGTTCCAGAGTAGACAAGTCAATTTCGACAATTTGATCATATTTGGCGTTATTATCAGCTGAGAGTAGAGAAGATTTGACTGAGTCTGCGGCAGCAGCTATGTCACTACGTTGAGTAGATTTCAGATAATCCTTCATTCTATTGTTATAGGGAAACAAAGAGGTGGTAGCCCCGATTTCAGCACCCATGTTGCAAATAGTAGCCATGCCAGTGCAGCTGATGCTGTCAACACCGGGGCCGAAATACTCTACAATGAAGCCGGTACCTCCTTTAACAGTAAGAATTCCAGCTAGTTTGCAAATAACGTCCTTAGGGCTAGTCCAGCCTTTCAACTCGCCAGTTAGTTTGACTCCAAGAACCTTTAATTGAAAATGATTAGTATTAGTTTTACCATTCTATTTTTACAGAAAAAAATGTTATAAACTATTGTCGCATTATAGAAAAAACTGTAAACTAACTTTTGGGCATTTTAACTCCCAAGGGATGTTAGCCATTACATCTACAGCATCAGCACCACCAACACCAATACACAGACAACCAAGACCACCTCCATTTGGAGTATGAGAATCTGTACCAATCATAAGAAGACCAGGAAAAGCATAGTTTTCAAGGATGATTTGATGAATGATTCCTGATCCAGGGTTCCAGAAGCCAACGCCATACTTAGCACCAGCAGTTTTTAGGAAGTTGTAGACTTCTTTGTTGATGTCTTTAGCACGTTTAAGATCTTGTTCACCACCTATTTGAGCTTCAATCAAGTGATCACAGTGGATGGTAGATGGAACAGCAACTTTTGGAAGTCCTTTTTTCAATATAATTTAATAAATTAATTTCAATCCAATGTATATAATAATACATGTTGAAAATGTCAATTTATATTTATTTAAAAATGCTCTATACCAGAGCTGATGAACTGGAGCATAGCCATTTGTGCTGTTGCATCTTGCATAGCCACTCGATCAGGACGTAACCGCAAGTAACTGGTTCCACGTGTGATATCCTGTTTATGGGGCTCATCTAAGTGGGAGTACAAAACTTTTTCTGATAGAGTCAGAGGACGATCTAACCTGTAAATATTGCAATACTTAAATGATTGTACTGAAAATAACTTTTTTGTTTCTTGGTTACATAAATCCTACCTCTTCTTCACAATTTTTATATTTTCTTCAAGCTTGTCATAGGGCAGATAGTTGCTTTTATCAAATTTGGACATAGCCACCTTTGCAGCAGCATAAGTAAGTGGGCTGGTGCTGAAACATCTTTGTTGAATTTCAGCAGCTATAACAGCTACTTTCTGAAATGGAAAAATTAAATTTTGTAATACTCAATAACTTACAAACAAGAGAAATAGTGCATGATCATCAAAAAACAAAGAAAAGAAATTATTAAAAACAAATATTTTCAGAATTTTTTTCATCTTATCTTTGTTGACAGCTTCTAGATATCTCTCTTATGAATTTTTATATAATAATGCATATAAATAGCAACCTATATGATGAAATTAGCAGAGTTGAATTGGAACTTATAAATTATTAAACAAATTTTGAATTATTATATCATCTTATACTTAGACTTTTGGAACATGTTATAAACTGATAGTTCATAAAAAAATAAGTATTTAGTGGTTCATAAAGTTAAAATTATGCTTATTATAAATAAATGTATATACCATAGAAAATTACCAAGTACTTATTTAATTTAATTCCTCACAAAATAGAATGTGATAAAGCTTGAAGTGTAGCTATAGGCAGACAACACCGCTACTTTGTTAATTATATTATACTGTATATAAAAAACTGTAACTATACTTCTCTTATAATATTTAAAAAATATATCTTTTTAATACATTTATCCTAAAAATATTAATTTTCTAGATTAGTTGATGAATAAATTGCATTATTTTTAATTGTCAAATTGAAAAACTGCAAGCTAACAATTTGAAAACGATGGCTTCACACACGCGCATGCTTCGTGCCTCTCGAACGAGCAGAAGAAGACGAAACATAACCTTGAAATCAGCAATCGCGCTCAGGTAGATATTTCGCGCGCTAGATTATATAACAGCTTCATAAATTTTTCCTCATCGGGATGATGATAAACGTAGAGTTTACTGGTAAATTCAACAGTCATAAAGATAACGATTCTTATGAAATAAAACGTAAGATTGCGCAAAAAAAAATTCTTGTCATTGGCTGCAATGCCTTCTGCTTATCGGACAGCTTCAAGGTTAAAAATAAATTAGAAAGACTTTACAATGACCAAAGTTTGGTTGCAATGAAAATTGAAACATAAATGCATGAAGTAAAAGAAAATTCCTAGATTTGTCTTTATTTAAAACCTTGGTGTGAAATCTGGTATGGTTACAATAGCAAAAATATTGGAGTTAATACATAAAAAAAGTAACAAAACAAACACTAAATGATAGCTTAATGGTGCATGAGTAGTGCATAGATTGCAGAATAATAGTACCGCTGACAGTTTTTATCGTCCGTCGCGACACAAATGACAAAAATAAATCATTATAGACTTCTTTTTGACCTTTACACAACAGCTTATAACTCTGCAACAAACTGTAACCAAGATAGCTTCGGGTACTAGAAAAAGAACACTGTTCTAACAAAAAAAAGTACCTACAGTGTCTTATCGCACACTGTAACCTTGCAATAAAGTAGAGCTCCAAAATTTGAAATAATTAGGTTGAAAATGGCTCCGAAAAAGTCGGTCGTGTGGACATACCTGGGCCTGCAAAATCCGAGCGCAGTATGACATTGTCGGCTCCGCTTTTAAGGCAACGTTGTGTTAAATATGGTCGCTCGAGAAGTTGAGTTTATTGTCACGATTTGGATTAACGAATGGATTTTCTCGCCTCCCCCGTGTGGCAGTCCTTCTCGAACCGGCCACCAGAAAACTGTTCTGCTTACGAATTTCCTCTTTGTGCTTAACCCGTCGTCTACTTGATTTTCCTCTAGCGCTCGTGTGACGTTCTCGAACTCAAGAAAACGACGCTGGCGCGCACGCGCTACATTTATGTTGCAAGTTACGCCGTGCGCGCAATGCGCATGATTATTGTTTTACCGCGGATTTTTTCAGGCACACTTTATATAACGTAGGTAGATAAGGTAGGTTTTTAGGTTTATGCCGGAGTTGATAATAAAGAAAGCTGCGATTTTCGAATGATATCTATTTTTTATAAGAATATCCAAATAGTTTTATAAGAATATCCAACAACAATAAAATTGCGTCAAACAATTTTTGTGAAAGTGATTCCTTTTCTTTAAATTCTTTACTTTTATATTACGTACAAATTTTTCAGTGCAGGTAGAGCAAATATTTTCAAAAACTTCGCAGTAAGGTTTGGAGATTAACAATAATAATAATAAAAAAATGTTAAAATATCATGTACTTTCCTAGGATATCTGTTTTCTGCAGAGTAAAATAGAATAATTCTTATAAAATAGTTTTACTAATATCGCTGCATCGATCACTACTACCCGACTCAAAAAACATAAATTAATTAATATAGAATTAAACCAAAAATAACAAAATATAATACACATATAAGTCAGAAATAAAAACATAATACTCATTGAAGTATTATGTTTTGTATTTTGTTAACTTCCGTAATAGCAAATACATTTACTTATTGTCTCATTTTCATAGATAGATTGCTAAAAAACTTGTAGTAAATAAAAAATAAAAATATTGTTACGTAAATAAGAATTTAAATGCTATTAAAATCTGTAACATTTCAATGGTTCGGGTAATATAAAATTTGTTAAGAGAAATAAAAAAAAGTAAATATGGTAAATGCTATACTTTGAAGTATTTTTCAAATCCATAAAAGTTGTATTACGGCGGAGTTCCAAATTTATCATGATAATATCATCGAACTGGTAGCCGGCATGAAATGTAAAAGTAAATATCGCCGTATGAATCGAGCGATACCGCGAGGGAAAAATCACGGGAAAAGCAATAATTGTCTAATTGGATAAGTGAGCTAGTTATAAAGCAGCAGACAATAGGAAAGAGCGTTGAATTGAAGCTATTCAGACATCACATTGAATAAAGTAATTGAAAAAGGGTGTAGACAAAACGTATATCCGGGACAGTTGCGGCTTGTAGATTGATGTTGCATAAATTAGCGGAACACAGTGCGGCGAAAAGTAGCTGGAGCACGATTGAAAACTATTCAATCTGGTCTGAGCGCGAGCCGACTTCGTTCGGAGAGCCGCTCCTGACTTAATCCACGCTGTGATCGCTCGCAATGTTTATTCAGATATACGATCTTATCGCGCGCTCTCTTGGCTAGCTGCAGCCGATATTTTCCAAACGGAATTATTTCGCTCGCTTGAATAACTTACGTGTGCATCGATATCACTCGATTTGCGATTCGAATATTAAAAAATAAGTTGACATACTTCACGGATATTGTCGAGCGGCTCTAAAATCAATTTGGTACTCTTTACCGAACGATTTATCCGATTGATATAGATCAATCATCGTTTTATCGCCGAAAATTAATGTCGATAGATCTTTCTTTCTGAATCAATCAATTTGTAGTCTTTGGCTTTACCTTACTTGGCGTATTAACAAAGAAAGAAAAAAGACACAAATCAAAAATAAGAGTGAAAATAAGCTTATCCGTGAAGGGAATGTTTTTTCATTTCACTACGCCTAAAGATAATAAGACGAAAGTTGCTCGACCAGCGTTTGCTTAAAGTAAATCATACTTCTCGCGAAACTATTAAGCACTTTAAAGAGGCGCGCAGCTCGCTCTCCTTGATCCAAACCCTTGTACGCACTGGACTAAATTGCAGTCTCGATTTTGTGCCCTAGTCTCGCTATTTTTACGACTGTCAAGACCTTGACCAAGATTCACCCGATGATCATCACAATGCCGATGATTTCCGTTCACCGCCTGTATTTACGTTCGACGTGATCGACGAAAACCAAAATTATGCAAATTCATACTTTATTGACTCTGCGATACAAGTATCATACAATTGTAACTGTTACAGTCGTGGAATTTTTTCACTTTATCCAGCCACTTATTCAGCCGTGATTACCATGCTCTCGCGTATCAATTCACTGGAATAAGATATAAGACACTAGGAGTTGCTAAGACGACTAATCTGTTTTAGATGAGTAATAGCTCATACGTGCTCTTATGTAACGAGCTTTTTAGCCTCAAGCGATTGTCCGTATTTCTCTCTTTCTCGCTATCTTTCGCTTTGTTGGGCCGTTTCACAATGAATAGATAAAAAATGTACAAAAGTAAAAAAAAATATCTTTATAAGTTGTTTGTAAAAGTAGCTCAAAAGTCAACGTCCCCGTAGTAATTGTCAAAGCTTATCAATCCTACAGACAGACTTGGCAGAATATAAATCCACGTGAGTGTTCTATTTACTATAACGGGGCCTTCTACGGCGTTTGCGAGTGGTAAAGAAAAAACAAGCGGCCTATCAAGCGTATAACTTGCGTAGCACGCAGTGGCCTCGGTTTTGTTGTTGTTGTTATGTTTCGATTGCAATAATTTTCGGGAACCACTACGAAGGATGGCTGCTTTCACGGTTGCAAGATGCAGTGCAATATTGAACGACCATGGATGCGACCTGTTGAAGGTACGCGATGGTGAAAGGGATGGACACTTTCGACGCGTCGTGAGATCCAGTTGAACTTGACAGTCTTGAACTATATTCTCGAAAGCTCTCGGGATTTCGTCGTTCGCGTGTAAAAATAGATTTTGTTTTCGAAAGATGATTTCGTTTTGTTTTACTTTGCTCGTACGTTATCTCCTGCTGCAGTTGCGAGTACGTTCTCAGTAACTCTGTTATAACGTTGAAGATATATTCGATGACGCGAATACGTTATCTTTAATAATCATCGACGTATAGGACTTTTCGATTGGATCGTCCGATAAATGAGCAATTATCTCCGCTAAGAATTGAACAGCAGGATCACGTTCGATGATGAAAAAACAAAGGCTGGCTCTTTCGGCTATTAGAAAATCAATAAATCCTCGAGTGTTCAATTGTAGTTGAACTTTAGGGATGCTATGACACAGTAAAAAGTCCGTGGTTCTTGGAAACGGTTTCCCCGTTTTAATTGCGCAGGTGCACTCGGAAAGTAATCCTTTTTTGATTACTGTCCAATGAAACCTAATATCGACATCTAGATCTCAACGCGAGTTTCTTTTTCGTCCGGTCGCAGGTGAAAAGTGTCATAAAAGTATAATGTTGCGAAATTATATATAGCCGAGAATAATACACAAAGATCTTGATGAGGAATCTGGAATCGTAATTTCGACGTTTTATGTTAGAAAGTAGAGCTAATGTTCCAGTTTATGTAATTCGCAGATGGCAGTTGCAAAAAAAAAAAGAAAAAAAATTAAGCTCGGAAAGCTACTCTACTTGCGTCGTTTGGACAGCGGACAAGTTTGCCCAGTCCAGTTTCCTTGTTTCAAAAATACAAGCAGCATGCGACTTATTCATTGTCGCGCGCAGGTGCGCAGGTGTGGGTTTTTTGCAGTTGGTTTTTAAATTAAGCGTGAATTTCGAATCCGCGCCACGTAATGCATTGAATAATATATTTAAATGGAGTGCCTCGCGACTGTTCCGCCACCATTAATTGCATTCCGGCTTAGAGCTCCGTGGTCTATAATTTCTCCGCGCGCAACATTTCACATTAACGCATCGGTGTAATATCAAAGCGCTTTTTTCTCTGTGATTACTTATTAAAAATCAATATAATCACGTTTCTCGCGCGGATTATACTTAACGCAGTTTTCAAAGAGGACATTGAGTGTTGGTAATGCTTTCGTGTACCTTTATAAAAAGATGTTTTGAATGACAACTAAAAAGTCAAAAACTGGTTTACCGAAGTAGCAGAAACTTGTTAATTCCGGCCTTTATATTAAACAAGTCAATGTCACGCAAAAGCAACATCTGCTGTTTCAATGACTGCCTCGGGACAATTATTTCATCGGGTTTCAATTGTCAGATTAAACCTGTACTTGAACAAGTGCTGCACACGCGTAACTTGCATACTATTACTTTTCTATAATTTCACATTGAAACTCATGAAAGCAAATCCGCGAGCTTTCACCACGCAATGCGTTATCAAAGAGTAGATCAATGACGTGTGAATGAGGTGTCCCCGAAAGAGCACACACCCAATAATTGTATGCATCGTAATGGAATTACTCCTGCTCGATATTGTTTGACGGCACTAATGGATGCGTGCCGGTGATGGCGTTGCGTTTGGAATATCGAGAATCTTTCGAAGACTTTGCATGAGAGGCGTTTCACCCGATAGCTTGACATTACCTACGGAATGGAATTCATTAGATTTATTAATATTTGTCACGCATTCGACAATTAAGGATTATTGATTGATGCGCTAAGATTCGCATAGAATGTTTTGTCACCGAGGGGTCAATAAATATTAAAAGTTACCTCATTTTGATTTTCAGTTGTAAGCAAAGTAGAGCCTCTATCATAACGAATATTATCTTATAGTTATGCAGATTTAATGCTGATTCATGAAACATCTACCTTATATTGCAAACTCTAGTATTTATTATCTAATTCACTACTCATTTTTCTTTTTCAGGATCAGAGTAAAGAAAACTAAAATTTATTAATACAAGAATCGATACTCAAACATATCGCTGTGTTATAAAAATTAAAGGAATTATATAAAATAACCATAATCAAGTAATGGCACGTATGAACGTTGGTACTCATTTTATTTGACAGATCAAAATCATTGTTTGATCAATCGCAAAACCCTTCATTTATCAACAGTTTGACGCATATTGATGTTATTCAGAAAAATAATTATAGAAGAAAACGAAATGGGCAAAAAGAATCAAGATATTCCGATCATCAGTCTTTTGTAATCTCTTCCATATAAAAAACCGCTCGTAAAATGTGTATGGGCTATATAATTTACTCATTTTGATCTAAAAGATTACA